GTTAATCTTTCATTTCACCAATACCCTCATTATTTTTGTAAAATTAACACCATTATCCCTTTCTCCTTAACAGCAGCTATGTCCTTTCTGCATGCTGTTACCATTAACCATTGTCATTCTGAATCTGAGTATATAGAAAAGTTTGGGGACAGAAAGAAGTTGCAACTTTATCATATCATATATATATATATATATATATATCCCCCAACAAGCCATGATATTGAAATTGGGAAATATGTAAAGTAAGTCAAATACATGGCGACTATTTCGAAAATGTAATATAAAAAGGCAAATATTTGAAGAACTTGAAACTATAAGATACTTATTTGTTTTTTTTTCAGAAGAAAGTAAAATCAATTTCAAAACAATAGGGTATCAAAACCTATTTCATTTAGTCTTTATGTTATTTACATTAAGTGATAGGGTTTTGACATTTTAGGCATATTATAAACTTTGTAAATACTGTACAGGTCAAGCAAGACATATACTGTGCTTACACATACACTGATTACCACCTGATAATATAATCCTTAACACTTAGTATAGTGCTTCAGATAACTGAGCTATAATAAGATCTCAACATCAACATGGTTTAATGTTATGAATTGGATATTAAAAGTCACATACAACAGCGCCCCATAGAATAAAATAATCTATATAATAATGAATACCAGGATTAAGATGAGGATGAATAAACATAAATAAAAAGTAATGACAATTACAATGATTATTATTATACTGAAAAGAATAACAGCAAATATTATATTACTAAATGTAATATAATGGCAGTAAAAACTACAGTCAAAGAATAAGTTACTTCAGTGCTATGATTAACACTAATAAACAACTAGTGACTGTAATCACCCAGAGTATAAAACAAGCAAATAACTAAGAAAAGCATATAGTTAAAACACTCTATCAGTTGAATATATAAACTGATGTGTGATAATGACGACAATAGATAAATGACTGAATAAACTGATCTAACTAAACAATTAATGAATAGCTGAAGAGAGAGAAGAGATATTAAGCAAGAATGAACCCATATATACTTCCATGAAGATCGATGAAAATAAGAAGACGATTCATGAAAGCACAGCCATATTTCAACAATTAAATGTTGATATGCAAAAATACTAGTTTCAACTTAAACAACATTACATTATGTCCTTAAGTTACAATAATCAGATCACTATATCCAGGATATTTATCAGTCACAGGAGATGATGCCTCATTAGCTTGCCTGTATTTATATACCTTAATTCACTAATGTCGTCCTGCTGTTATGAAGCTACGTAATGGTCTCTACAAATGTCGAGATAAAACCATGAAATTCAGCTTTCATGCTGTAGACACTATGACTGAGGATATGAAATTCGTGTAGATTTCATAATGAGAGTAATTAATACTCTATATTTGAAAAAATGTAAAAATAAACTATAAAAATTATAATCATTCCAATTTTATAATGTCATTTAACTATGTTTGCTTGGCTGTCGTCTGATTTCACCGTGCCAGACCAGTACTGTTTGTATTTCCATAGAACTTTGCAATAGCAATACGTAACTACCATGCACTGGATAGACCTTGCATGAAGAAATAAATACCTGCCTGTGAAAAAAGGAAAGACTCAAAGGAAACATAATGCAAAAACGTCATCACAGCCATTGATAAAATTACATAGTATCTTTTCATAATTTTCCTTAGTATCTTAGAACTTACCAGAAATGACTGTTGAAGCCTAGACCGAAAAATCCATAAAATAAAATCCTTTTAGAGTAAAAAATACTTTTTTTTTCTATAAACAGATAAAGAGTACTTTCAAAATAAACTGCAATATGTATTATTTCTACCATCAAAGTGTAGCTCTATGAGGCTCTATTCTATGAATATTAGACACTATGACACAATGGTGAATATGCAGTCTACTAACTTCTGTGGAACATTACATGTAATCTACTCATTTCCTGCAATACATATAACAAGAGATTATCCATCCACCATAATCACACTAGTTTACATAAAAGGCAACATCATTAATCTCTAATATTACATGAAGCACCAAGCCATATATTTGCCACAATTATATAGGTATGTTTTATATGAAAATTACAGTAAACAAGAGAATTGCTAAATAACCTGCCTTTATGATATTTCAGATAAAAAATAAAAGTACACAGATAATAAACCACTAGCACCAGTAACATTCAATCTCCTGTAATTATTATGTCTAACACTTTGCTGTCTATGTGAAGCACTCACAGCTGTTAGAATGCTTCCTTAAATATAAAATATATAATAAAATCTTTATATATATTTGAAAAAAAAAAAGCACTTAAATATAGTTTCTCCTCCATTACCATATTTGAGAATGAATTGGGTTTCTAAGAAGTCGACAATTTCTTTGAATTTTGCCAATTTGATTCATCTATCAAACCCGTCACTATGGATAAACATGCAAACACTATGATCCATTTCCTTTTAAGTGTAAAGACTAATGTCTATTAAAACTCATCAACTTGCTTACTTCCTATTGTTAAAATTTTGCTGAAAAAAATATATTTAGATAGCTATTTTCCTCTCCTTGTAAACTGCCTCTTGATTCCAAAAGCATAGAGGAACACTCAGTGAAACCTAACGCTAAGACATCAAACTTCCTGTGATAATTACATAATATTTCCTTAGGATGCACATCCATGACTCACCAAAGCACCAATAGTTTATTTTCTGTGATAACAACCTTGAAGAACAGAATTCCATCAATGAAAGTTATTGCAGTCAACAATTGCATATAAATATCTTACAAATTATTTGTCAACTATGCTAGTATAATACAGATGATTTATATGAATTTTCTGTATTAGTGTTGGTATGAAATGATAATTTTCAAAATATAAAGCACACTACAAAGAAATTTTAATGGGTTGCATCTAACACATCAAGTCACCACATGAGGTAACATTGCACTGCACTACTTAATCAAGAATATATATATCTCAGTGTTAATCTGCAAGAAATGTACAGGAATGAAACTAATAACTCCTGAACATCTACTGCCAAACGAACCATCCATTCTTTTTTTTAAATACCAAAGTTCTCATCTCAAAATGATCGCAGGCAAACATACCCAGAAGGTAAAAAGAGAATGAATCATGCTGAAGTTCATGGAAATGCATATTACACAAAAAGATAAAGTGTCAATAAAAGAAAAAATTCATAATCCACCAACGAAACAAAGTGTGTACATGGTACCTTTACCAACAAGCTATAAAAGGAGAAGTTCTGTCCGAATATATTGGAGACAGAAGAGACCACATTCATAAAGAAGGAACATTTTGAAAGCTCTGTATAAACAAACAAAAAAAAACAACAACATTATAACACAAAGAGAAAAAGTAACCTATCGCACTTCAAAGGAGTTTTTATAGGCAACTATTTTCACAAAATTATACAAAGATTTTTCAAACGTTCGAAATTTGATAGCAGATGATTCACTTGCTTCTTTACCCTTCTAAATTCTTGGGGATAATAATGATAATAAAGTTGTATATTGTGGGAGGAGGGAGGGAGGGAGGGGGGGAGAAGCTTTAAATATATGTGCAAGATTAGCTAATATTGTTGGTGGAAGATTGATGATATATAGCCATTTTAAGATAATATATTGAGTAATAGAACCCAACTGGAATGTAAGTTATGTTTCTCACCCAAAACTGTCACAGCCAACCAGTCATATTTACTAAAGGGTAAATGGTTACAAAGTTTCCTTAAGTTGCGTTTATACACAAGTTATGAAAGTACATGCACTGTCTTCATCAACCATGAGCACATCCATTTACAAACTACATCACAAGGAGAAGGACAACTGAGTCATTACATCGTGCTCATCGACTTCAAACATTGTGACACTGTGCCTGAAGATATATATATATACCTATGCATACCTCACACGAAAGTGAAGCAGGAATATCAAAAGGCTCAATCACACGTCGACATTGAAAGTGTGCTACTGGCCCCACTCCTGGCGTCAGAGCCAGTCGAAATAAGCCCCATCGGGGACTTCTATTTCCACCAGGGCAGGAAATACATTCCAGGTAGGTTCTACTAAAATGCATCGTACCAGGAATCGCTAGTCAAGAACTTCTCACTTGCTACATTCGTGATATATATATATAATCTCGCGTGTCCTTCGCGAGGGGAACATAAATGAGAACCCAACAGAAACAAAGGCAAAAAAAAATATATATATCCTGTGCTTTAAAAAAAAAGATGTAAATATTTATCAATCTACCTTGCATTTCTTTTTTTTTTCCCTTTGCAACGGTCGGTTCATTTAGTCAACAAGAATTGCATCAGTATTTCTACATGTAATGAAAACCTTTGATTCTATTGATTTGATCTTGCTCCTCATTTTCAAAAGTAATTACAAAAAATTTATTGCCTATGATATAATATTAAGTTCAAAGAAATTTAGGAATTAGATTACTGCTGATCGGAAAGCTTGAAAATAAAATTAAGTAAATGATACTTAAGATAGTAGTGATGTTGGAGACAGTAATTTCATGTTGAAAATACAAAGAAAAAAATGATAATGACCAAACTAATTAAAACAGTAATGATAATACTGAAAATTATTTTAATAATAATGATAATGCTTATAATAATATTAATAATGACATTATTGATGATAATAATGCTAATAATAATAATAATGCTAATAATAATAATAATGATAATGATAATAATAATGATAATGATAATAATAATGAAAATGCTAATAATAATAATAATAATAATAAAAATTATTATTATTATTAATGATGATAATACTGCCCAGGATATTTTTAAATCACAATAATAATCATAATAGTTATCAATGGTCATAACAACATTGAGAAGGCTAGTTACCAGTCATGACATAATTCTTGTTTGTTTTTTCACAGCATTTTGTGTATTGTAATTATCATTATCATAATCATATTCTAATTTTTCAAAAGGATACGATCTTAAAATTCAATATTCATCATGACAAACATGATCATTATATAAGCCATTATCATTATACTATTCATTACAATTATCATTATCATTAACATTATTTAGCCATTATCATTATACTATTCATTCCAATATCATCATTATTAACATGACCAATCAAAATCATCAATTTAATGAACGAGCACTGGAAGCACAGGAGACAAATATTCTTAAGAGCATTATCAGCAATGGCTAATCTCACATTCAAATACTGAAGTCTACGTGTACGCCATCTCCCTTCTACGTTCGCTCGCGTTGTTCTCACGGAAACCCGAGTTCGTCTTTCCCGATTCAAATCAAGAGTGATGTAATACGCTTTGAAATAAATACGTAAAAAGAGACTACTGTTTCAAGACCCAAAATTTCAAGAACGCTTACATTTATGCTTGGTTTTATTCTTCTGTGCGTTGCTATTAAACCTAAGTATGTGAAGCATAAGGCATTGTCTTCAGTAATAGAGGCTGTTTAATCTTCACAAGAAAGTCAGCTCCTTAAATTTATGTCAAAAGTTTTATGTGTAGTAATAAAATTTAGAGTCACTCCATGTTAATTTCCAGTCACATGAGGTTAAAGCAAGTAGTGGTTCCTCCACCATTGCTTTCAACCAGGTTTCCATATATTGAGCAATTACTATTTATACAAATCAATAAATATTCACAGCCAGTGACAAATCATTACATATAAATTACCTTACTTACCACCCAATTGTATACAACAATTTGTCCTAGTTAATATCAGAAACATACCCTGAAGTGATCAACCTTTTCAAAATGGCATTCCTGTTTAAAGTCCTATATTTTTTTAAAACATATATGTGGTCCCCTCCCCAAAAAAACTCTATTGTTTTCTGTTTGGAATGATAATGTTTCTGAATACATATTCACAATTCTTAAAACTAATTTTCGGTACCTGAATAACATAAGTACGGACATCATAATCTCTTCAGTATGAAATGCTTTTTTTTTCCTCTGAATTACACATCAAATATTTACTAAAGAGTAAATATACCCAAATATACATGCTGATACAGAATCACCCTCTGATAATAGTACAAGGAAGCCAAAACAAATCAAGGGCTGTTACGGTGGCCTGTCCTTCTAATAATTACAAAGAAAAATGGATTTTAAGACTGTAATATTGGTAGTATACTTTCATGGAATATTAGATGGCTGCAAGCTTTTCATGTTACTATGGGTACAGAATATGACATTAATTTTCCTTAAGGTTATTAGTTAAGTCTTCAGACAAGGTGGTTACATGAAGATATGAAATCAGGCATATAATCCTGTACAAAAAGACATCTGACTGTCATCGGCACATTATATGAACTATTTTACTTTACTGGTAAGACTAAATTTGCTGAGAGATATCTCAATAAATATAATACTGTAGTAGCAAGACTGATAGCTTTGGTGGTACAATGGCCAAGGCATACACTTCACTACATCAACTTTGGTGTGTACCAGCCTTAGCAACTGATTCAGACACATGATTCAGCTGTACAGAATAGGAGGCCAGACATCTGCTGAAATATCACATGATTCTGTTGCGCTCTAAGCAGATACTGGCATCCTGCTATTAGTACACTAGCAGGGCATTTTAAGTTGTGGTGGCAGCTTGAACAGGCATTTGCTGCACCAGTTTCATCACTTTGTCCAGAACTACTTCATTGGTGCACTGGACTGAGCCTGGTTCATATGGCTGGGCTATTACTGCAGTTTGCAAAACCTGATGGTAGATGTGAATGGTGAATGCAGGGTTAAATTGTTTACCTTAAAAGGTGTTATTTCATGGACTATTCAAATAATATGTTTAGTCATGGATTGCTTGACACATATTAAAACAAAACAAAATTTAAATATATATACTCAGTTTATAAAAAGAAGTTACATTACCTCTACACTCATGTCATCCCTAACTGTATATGGCACACGGTTTTCTGCCAGCCATACGCAAAGGCTCTCCCGTCGTGCTGTCAGCTCCTGGCTACTGTAATGTATCTGGGGGACAAAATTCATAGATAAAACCCTAGAGAAAAAATAAAACATAAAATTACACTATATATAAAATTCAATTGCACTATACCTTCGAGCTCTGTTAGTTTTTAAGCTTAAGAGTTCTAGCTTCTCTACTGTAGAAGCAATAAGTAAAAAGGTATGTATAAAAATGAACAGACATGTTAATAAAACATTCACATGCATGCTTACTAACCTCACATCATTTCAAAACTTAATATTATTTCTGATTATATGAATCTCTCCTTAACCCTTATTAAATTAGAAATCCAACAAACATTTACAATTTACTTTAAATATGCAAAAAAAAAAAATTACAACGAGGCCTAGCAATTACCGTAACACAACAATAATGTACTATTTCTGCAGTAGAACATCAGTCATTCTCCTATACCTATGTCTAGAATATTCTTATCCTTCCCACCTCAGGCCACACTCAGAAACAGCAGAA